CCCCCCCCCACCATGTAAAATTCGATAGCTGATCAAACTACCAAGAGCTGGTGCTTTGCCTGAGGAAGCAGTGTAGAAGGGGGATGGAGAGCTCATCCATAAATGAGTGAATGGCAGGAGGAAAGCAAGCAAGTGGTGCCCAGGAGGGAGATGGGTGTAGCTCGACTGGTGGGGCAGGTCAGAAAAGAGATGCAATTTTCCAGAGGGGGGATCAATGATCTAACTCAGGGGTGGGCAATTATTTGGGCCCCAAGGGCCACTTAGGGAGTTTTGGTGAGCTGTTGTGGGCTGGGTCAGAACCCCCCGTCCACCCCACCACAACAGCTCAGCTGAACTCCCTAAGTGGCTCTGCTCTGTGTTAGGCAGGTGGATGGGATGGGGCTGCAGGCGGGGATGGAGTGGCATCTGGAAGCAGGATGGGTGGGCAGGGCTGGGGCTTGGGGCAGAGCTGTGATCCGCATGCCTCGGCCCATGCAACCGGCGCCTGTCGCAGGGGCGTGCAGGGCACAGATTGTGGCTCTGTCCCAGAACCAGCCCCGTGCCGTCACTACCCTGCAATCCCGTCCTGTGATCCCCACCCATCCTGCTCCCTGTCAACACGTGGGTCCATTACATCCACATGGCCGCCTACCTGCCCACACAGGTCCTGTCCCCAGTGGTAGGTGTGGGGTGGATGGGCTGGGCACTCAGGCAACAGGACTGGGTCTGCCGGCAGCAGCAACTGGAAGGAGCCATTGACACCGGGGCTGCTGAGAAGCGAGTCCAGCCACCACACCATCCCAGCTCTGTTGCGCACCCAGGGGCAACAGGACTGCATGCACGTGCCACAGCTCAGGCTGCCCCCCGTGCTTGGGTCAGGCAGGGCTACGGGACTCACTGCAGGCCAGACAAAATCTCTTGGTAGGCCAGATGTGGCCCGCAGGCTGAATTTTGCCCACCCCTGCTCTAACCAGCGATGTGGAAAGATCAAGAACCGAATGGAAGGAAAAAGAAAAAAGACAAATGAAAAATTGCGAGTGTTCAGAATCCCTAATTATGTATTCCCAGCTGCCAAATTCTTCAAATTGGTTTGGCTTATTGCTTACTACTCTGGCGTGGGTTTGAAACGAGGTCACCAGCAGTTACCAACACAGAGGGGTGTTTGAAGTCTGCAGCAGTACCAATCACCCGACCTGTCATGCAACCATGGCAGCAAATCACCAGCTCCAGTTTTAAGCCTATTTTACATTAAAATGTTGTCTCTGAGGTATTAGAAAGTTTGCTTTAAATTACACCCCGCCATGTATTTTAAACCCACATTAAAAACATTTCCAAAAAACAAATTCTAAGGTCCCAAGTTTCCCCATTGATGTTATTCATCCTGCGGCAGGAAAACTGGTTCCATCTGTATTCTAGCTGTGCCTACAGGGCTCAGGTGGGACTGGGGCTTAGCTATGCCAAAGGCACCATGCAGCATTTGAGCTGCTAATAACTACCTTTTGCTCCGGAAACAAACAGATGTAGAAAAAATAAAATTAAATACTGGCTGGGGTCAGCTATGCTGGACTGAAAAATGTAGTGACAGTCTTCTCAACAACCCTGAATTTTAACTCTGCACCTAAAAAGTGAACAGATCAAATTCCTCTTCCATTAGGACCCAAATTGAGAAGCTGAGCAAGGAGAAGCCAAAAAAACCTCCCAACAACCAACAAAAAAACTGAAGGTGCTCAGGACCAGACAGAATCAGGTTCTAAAATAAACATATGAAAGCTGTTAACATGGTGGTCTCAAAGTCCTTTACAAAGGAAGACTTACCTCCATTTTACAGATGAGGACACTGAGGTACAGAGAGAAAGTACGACTTGGATGAGGTCAAGCAGATGGAGCTAGGAATACAGTCCTTGGACTGTTCAGATAAGGCCTATCCATTAGACCATGCCGCTTGGGCTCAACAGATCACTCATGTCCTATTTGCAGGCCATATACAAAAATTGTGCTTTTCCAGGCAAACAGATGGTATGTACTTGAAACCAATTGTACAGAATTATTGCATATGTAAAATAAGGGTATTACTTCCATATGACCGATGCCAATTTCTTCTGGAACACATTAAAATGCATCTGCCACCGCACAATTTAATACTGTACAAACTATAACATCCATTTCAGCAGTACGTATCACCTGCCTCAAAGCAAACCGTATTTAATACAGCTTCTAGTCTCAGTGAAACAGATCAGGCTACATTTTAAATAACAGTATTTTTCTTTAAATATATACATTGGCATATCAATATTTTGGCCCTACTCATATTCTTAGTAATGTCTCATTTGTCACATACAAACCACAAGGAAGAAACATCCATTTTTTTAAAAAGCTTCCTTAGAAATACAGTACCCCGTGACTTCCAGAATTAGGTAACATTTCTTATGCATCTGCACACACAAGATCTGGGATCAGAATCAAGACCCCAGATCCAAGTATCTTCTAGGTTTGCAGATCTAGCTGTGATGGCTCTATGCATATATTTCTTCCTTAAAGCCATTTCTTTTTAAATGTTTTGGTGTTTTCACCTTTATTTTTGTAAGATCTGTACAACTTTGGTAAGATCTGTAAGATCCCTTTACATTTAAAAGAACTAATGAGTGTATTTTACAAGTTTCTGCAACCCACCTCAGCTCCTGACCTACACTGTCACTGTTGAGGCAGATGACTTTAATAGGTTTTAGAGGAAAGGTCAAAAATTGGGCTAACAACAACATTTTAAGCAACTTCCCATTAACTCTGGGGGTACTGTTTCTACTCCATAATACTAAGCTCTAGAAGACCCCATGAGAACATTTCATCTCTTGACAAATACCCTAGGGAGCTGTTTTGACAGCTTTGAAGTTTGGTTTTATCACACAGTTCAGCTCCTAATGGACTGTCATGCTCTTCTGGATGACACGTTTGTTGGACATTGTAAAGAAAAGTCCTATATGCAAGTCAAAGCAAGCCCCAGGAAGAAGGGTTACGGGGAAACTTCTTGCCACACTCTTAACTAAGACTCTTGTTTACATATCTTCTTGACAAAATTCGAATCACCCAGTCCCACGACATATTATACTTGTACATCAGCAACAGCCTACTTTCTCCTAAGAGAAAGCCAATGCAATTCTAAGACGCGATTTTCCTTTTGGATCTGCAGAGCATATCTTACCTCCAATATTTTGATGTGTCTTGTTCATAGAGCTTACAGCGTGAAAGTATCACAATCAAAATGCCCCATTAGGCTCAGAGAAACAACATTTTCCTGCCCACTGAAGAATAAGGTCATTGAAGCAGTAATGAATTCCGTATATTGCCTTAGAGAACTTTAGTTTTCTCTCTCTCTTTTTGAGCTGTTTCACTCCAATGTACATGTAAATTTAATTTATTTGAACTCTATTAAATTTTCTTCTGCACTAGTTACAGTAAGTAATCATTAGGAGCTAAGAAAACAGAATTCCTTTCCATAAGGAGGGAAACAAAAGTATACATACCAATTCTTTCACTGCACCGCCAGCAAAACAAAAGAGTATGACTACGCTCACCAATCCAAAATATAATTATTTTAAACCTTTTCACATGCTTGAAAAAGTTCACCCGCATTTTCATGCCTCTTCAGCAAAACAAACTTATCCTGTCCAAACATGTGTATGCAGGGACATAAAGAAAACTCTTGATTTTACAGAGAGCTTAAGGGAGGGGAAAGAGGACCATCCGTTTCAAAAGAGACTTATAAAAACATTTAAACAATAAGAAAAAATTTAGATGGATAAGCTGTGCGCTGATTTTTAACTTACCACGAGAGCAAAGTACACCATAAAGAAAAATGATAAACTACTTGTGTAGCCAAGAAAGCCTGTAAAATAACAGTAAAAATAAATGGCAATTTATAAGGAAAGTGATCCTAATGTACAGCTAAAGCTTTACATTTTAGGCATGTTTTCTATTACAGTTCTCGGTATCTGGGGCTTAGGACTCGGAATAACAACATTCCAGCTGCCTGTCACAGATCATTTATGCAGCTTTGCAGGGCAGAATTAGAACTGGCTTACCACTAATGGCATGCTGTAAGTAAATGCAGCTCTTTAATGTTCTGCTGTAAAGATTTTATTTTAGTATTGCAGACAAAATACAACTGCAACTCAAGTAATAGGTTAACTAGGCAGGGCCGGGAGGCAGAACCTATGACAATAGCTTAAGCAGTCCCCACCATTACCAACCCCCTGCCAGCTAGAATAAATAAATAAGCCATTAAGGTTTTAAAGTCCTTAATTGTAATTGCTATTAAAATACAATAATACTATTTTCCCTCCTTAAAATCACTTACCGATTTGGGGGAGAAGCGCTAGAGGAAAGACAATGCAGACTGAAGTAATCAGTAGCAGCAATCTGCCATTTAGAAACCATGACCTATTGGAACAAAATTACTTACAATGGTCAATAAAAGAAATACCCAGTCGTTACTAAAACACTAATCCTGGACAAAACTTAGGAAAGAGACTAACAAAATTGTTTGGTATCATATTCCAGTTGATCACCGTGTTACTTTTAGGGATTTGGGCTTTTTATTTATATCTGACTACTGCCAATTCTCAGTTGATTGAGTGCAAGAACACTGCTTTTACTGACCAACATTGTCTACAATCTTGTTGGGCAAATACCGGTATTGAGACCAGTTGAAGAGGCCCGATTTAGATTGCTATGGGTATTTTCTGATCTGGAAGCTTTCAAATCCTTGTCTTATGCTAGCTAGCTGATCAGAAGGTAGAGATACCCAAGACCACGATTATATTTCAATATCCGAATGCTATGCCACTTGTACTTTGACTGGCAAATCAGAAGAAACAAGGCTCTTTTAGCTTCCTACACCCATCCTTCATAACTCTTGTATGACCTTGGGTTATCTTCTCTGTGGGGATGCCCAACGTGAAAGCATAGAGCTACATAAAATATACGCAATGGGTTTTAAAGGACATAGCAACTTTTAAACAGGCCAATCCTCCATTTTGCCACATTGAAAACAGCGTGGATGAACGCAAAGAGCAGGAGAAACACAAATATCCCAAATCGGCTTTCAGATAACTTTGAATGGAAAACATGAGAATAAGACAGAAAAATCAGAAAGAGATTTTAAAATAATCTTTTTTTTTTTTAATGCATTTTTCAGTCGTTCAGTTATTCCTTAAAAGGGAGATGTACAAGAAAGGTAAAGAACAGAAAAGGGTGAAAAGATAAGAGATCCATTTCGTTATCATCACCCCACCAATTATACGCCCTGTGCCACAGATACGTAATGCTCTGCAGAAGGCAAAACACAGTCAAAAACTAGAGTCCATCCTCCAAAGAGCATGAAGTATGGAGGTACGAACATTAAAAAGAGCAGCATCTTGAGGGCACTCCCCTGCACCTGGTAGTAACTGCATCCTAGACTGATACACATCTTGCACATCAACCTCCTGGTTTATCACCTATAAACACCTTGGCCTTTGGCCTCAGGAGTTTATTTAGTCCAGGATATGGTTAGCACCTCATAAACAGGCAGCGCCCTCACGTTATCGTAAGAAAAGCAGAGTATTTATCCTGTGAGACAGGAAAAATCACCATAAAAACAGACCGTCCCTTAGCGTGGACAATTGTCTATTTTGTTTAAAAATGTAATAAATGGTGTGAAAGAGAGCCCAGAATCATCACCCCAAGGGCATAATTGCCAACTGGAGGTTTTCTTTTGAATACACATAACAATGTCCCCTTATGTTAAAAACTTTTCAGGACACACTGTATTACACTTCGAAAATGTCCTCTTGGCCTAGGTCTGAAGTACGACAACTTCAATTACTTTCTAATGAGAAGCTGCTAATCTCAGCAGTGAGTTGCAGCTGTTGTGCTACTCCTCCTTGCTAGCAGCAGAGCTCCAGCAGCCACCTGGGGTAAATAAAAGGGCATTTACTACTCTCCTTTTAAAGAAACAGAAAAACAAATCTCTCTCCATTCACTTCAAAAGTGCTGAATTTACTCACGACTTCACTGGAACATGTTGTGAAAGTGTGCACCAATATAATTAGGACTAGCAAAGTGCCCATCAAGAATGACGGGCGGGCAGCGGGGAAGGAGCACCACCACCCACCACCCCGCGCTGCTGCCGCTCCACATCTGGCTGCACGCAACTCCCCCCATCACTGTGTCCAGCCCCATGCACCCCCCACCACCTCAGACGTACCCACCCACACGCCACACGCGCACACACACACCCCCCAAGAACAAACACCATACACAC